GATTATCATCAATGAGGCGCATCTCCACGGCTCAGCATGGATTCTACCCAAAATGGTCAGTTACAACCAATTTGACCGAATTCGTGTCGCTCTGCGTTCGGACAATGGACTCTGGCGGACAAATCGACGCGGTTTACACTGATCTCAAGGCTGCATTTGACCGAGTAGACCTCAACATTCTTTTGAGCAAGCTAGAGAAACTCGGAGTGTCTGGATCCTTCATCTCGTGGTTCATATCTTACCTTACGAACCGTTTGCTTTGCGTTAAGATTGGAGCTTCTCGTTCTGAAATGTTCACGATCGTTTCCGGCGTTCCCCAGGGAAGTAATCTGGGACCCCTTTTGTTTTCGCTTTTCGTCAACGAGCTTTCGTGTCTACTGCCACCTGGATGCCGGCTATTCTACGCTGATGATGTCAAAATGTATGCGGTTATCAATTGCATCGCTGATTGTGAGGAGTTGCAGCTGATTGTGGATCGTATGCAGAGTTGGTGCTCCCGTAATTTCTTGATGCTCAGCATCAACAAGTGCAATGTGATATCATTTCAACTCAAACAAAATCCGATAATATTTGATTATTCCATTTCCGGGCAACCATTAGAGAGGATTAGCCAGGTGAAAGATTTGGGAGTAACACTCGACTGTGAATTGACCTTCAAACCGCACTACAATGACATCCTGACTAAAGCTAACAGGTTGCTTGGCTTTATGTTCAAAATATCTGAAGACTTTCGGATCCACTTTGCCTGCGGGCGCTGTATTGTTCATTAGTACGTTCAATCTTAGAGTATAGTACTGTCGTCTGGTGCCCATACCAAGCATGCTGGAAAGCCAGATTTGAGAGTGTACAGAGAAAGTTTGTTCGCTACGCGCTTCGTCATCTGCTTTGGCGTGACACGGCTAACTTGCCGTCTTACGTGGATCGCTGTCTTCTGATTGGAATTGACACCTTGGAACAAAGAAGACGGAACGCTCAAGCTGTGTTTGCTGCTAAAATCATTACCAGCGAGATTGATTCCCTCGAATTACTTCGGCAGCTTTTCTTTTACGCACCTGAGAGAGTGATTAGACAGCGTAATTTTGTACATCTCGCAGCTCGTAATCGGCAATATGGGTTGAATGAACCTGTCCGAGCCGTCGCTAATGCGTTTAATGACGTCTATGCATTGTTTGACTTTAATGTGCCGTTAACTGTTTTTATTAGAAGACTGTCCTGAATTAGAATGTGTCCTGTTTTTGTTTTAATTATACTTCTTTAATTCATTAAGACAACCATATGTCAGATGAATCATTGGAACAATAAATAATCAATAAATAAATAAATACAGAAAATTAGTAGAAAAGATTATTAGAAGTAATCGTCTGCAAACATTGTGTGGTCCTTCTCATTGTTCTTCATCATAAGTTCTTTCAGTCGATGCGTCGTCGACTTTAGAAAGCAACCATTCAGTGATGAGTGTGTGAGTGATGACCACGTTTTGCGTCCATTGTTGCAATGGAAGGGCTCTGCGCCGTTGGCGATTCTGCCATACAATGAAACCACTGGAAGCGGATCCCGTTCTGATGGAGGAGGCTTTTTGAATAGCGGATGATAAAATGTTTTGTATAGTGAACAAGAATCCTATGCTAGTGACGCCGGTGGTGTAGTGGTAAGCGTGATTACCTCTCACCCCATCAGGCCTGGGTTCAATCTCAGTCGGCGCCGCCGGGGTGTTCTGAGGCATAACATCTCTGATCACGCCTTCCTTTGGAAGGGAAGTAAAGCCGTTGGTCCCCGGTTCATGAGTTGATGGGTCGATAGGTAGGGTCCAGGTGTGGGAGCTGCCTTCCTGGCACGTCGGTAGCATTGGTGCTCAGCAAGGAAAACAAGATCGACGGAAAAAACAAACTAAAGAAAAAAAAAAAAAAGAAAAACAAATCATGGAAAAAAAAGAATCCTCGGCTCTGTAAAGTTAATTAGATTGAGCCTTATCAAATAAATGAATGAACAAACAAAAAATAAGCATCCTCTTTCAACTTTTCCTGTTGCTTCTACAGTTCTCTTCTAATTCTCTGTAATGCTCAATTGGAATTCTGCCGTTAAAAATTCTCCAATTAATTATTTATAAAATACGCTATAGAAACCTCCGAGTCCCTTAGAGTTGCCATGGCATACGTTTCATAATGGTCTTGGAATCCAACTCAGAATTGTCTTGGAGTTCTCCTGCAATTTACTTTGAAATTCTGCCTAATATTATCTTCGAATATTTAGATTGATTTTGCTAGCCCCGTTTTGAAAATCTTTTCTAATGTTCTATCAAACCCATGCGTTTTTCCAGTGATCTTATTGCACCAAAGTATATCTAAACTATTCATCTAGAAGACGAATGAGAAAGATGTGGATTTACGGTTATGTGGAGTTATTGAAAGATAAAAATCTGATGCGAGGAGGTGCTGACAAAATCAGGTTCAGTGCTGAGATTTGTCATTGTCATTGACAGACTTTATTGACGATATTGACAACTCACTGATAGACTTGATCTTCAAAAACCTTTGTCAAAATCCCATTCATTTTTTCGTCCGTAACAGAGATTCACCTGGTAACAAAATGTGTAATTTCGTGTATTCTGAGCAGGCATGGAAAATCATTTGCATTCATTTCGTGCATTCATTTACATTCATTTGTCCCTAACTTTTTTCATCAACAGAATTCCACAAAATGATATATAGAATTTTTGTAGGTTTTATTATTAGCTACAACTTTTGTTAACAACTCAAATCCGTATCTCTTATGAATGACGAACCAGAGCGAACAGAAGTCACTACTGTTTTTCAGTGAATGTATTTTACATTCACAGAAAAACAGTGGTTAGTTCTGCTCGCTCTAGTTCGTGTTGCATAAGAGATACAGACTTGAGTTATGGAAAAAGTTGTAGCTAATAACAAAACCTACAAAAGCTCTGCACACTATTTTGCGGAACGCTGTTGGTGAAAAAAATTATAGGCGAATGAATGTAAATGAATGCATGAAATGAATGTAAATGATTTTTCATGCCTGATTCTGAGTCACATTATTGTTATCTAAGCAGTTCAGAACGTAGATGTTTCTGCACCTTAACGACTCCATATAATTGTTTTGCTTAAGTCATTTAATTTCGTTTCAAATTTAGCTAATACAAAAATCTACACATGTTCGTACGAGTCAGTGACGAGTTTGCCTTGACGATGACTGTTAGCTCAAATGAGTGACCAAAGCATAATTTTCAATATCACCGTGGATTGTTGAGATTTTGCAGCACTGATCGGGTTATTACTGTATTACTAAAATATCCACGAAATTCTCTTCACGATTTTCTTGTAATAATTTTCCAAGTCCTCATTCCATTTTCGTTTAAATTTTTTTTTTGAGCTATACATATAATTCCCTTGAAATAATCCTTAGAATTGTCTTCTGAAATTTTGTAAAGCTCTCTAAAAAAATCCTTTTTTCCCCAAATTCAATAGAACTATCTTCATATTTTAAATCGAGTGTTCAATTTGAGTGTTCAAGGTTCATATAGACCGATTTTTTTTTTTTTTTAATACAGAAATAAAAAAAACTAACGATTTTAATATGAAAAAAACATAAACATATTTTTTATCTCTTAATTATATTCACTTTTCAAAAATCGGCCTTCGTCATGCACACGGTACCTGTTTAACGAGTCTTCACCCAAAAAAATGAGTTACTCTGGAGGGTTACTCTGTGTGGAAACAGAATCCAAGGCAGCTTCTGTAACGTTAACTGCTCGGTGACACACGCGAAACCCACTTTTCTTTCTTGCGCTATTTTGCTCCGTCCGAGTTCAATGAGGCCTGTGGGAGGAGAACGATCCATTTCTAGCCTCTTTTCTCTTGGACTATTAACACCGATGAACAGGAATCTTAACCTATGGGTTTGTGTCCAGTCGTATACCAGCTTTTGCTGCTACCACAAGCGTGACTCTGGTCAAGTATCCGTCACCCTTTTGGAATCCACTTGTACATATTTCCCACATTATGTGGGTCTTTAACTCTTTTCGATTTTGTTGCTGTTTTGTTGTAGTAAAGTGTTATACCCTTGCATACATTCCGTCGATGTTAGTGCCTTGATCGCGTCAAACACACTAAGTGTGGACCGTGCGACCTACCTACCATATGATAGCAGTATTAGGTTCTTGATGTTTGTGGAAGGCGCTATAGTTTTCATTGAAGACACCGAGACCCGTCTATAAAATATATATTTTACGCGATTGACGTTTTGGTACTTTTCAGTAAAAATACGTGGGATAATAATAGTTCGAAGTTGATCTGGAATCCAATGAATCGCTTGTTTCATGGACAGATCACATTCAATTAAGGAACTGCGATTGATGAAGTGAGCACGTTCTGGAGTATAACAAGGAAGACACATATTGTGTGTTTAGCCCAAGAATATCCTAAAATTTTTGCAATTAAAAGTGTGTTCGGCAGAAACGGTTCTGGACAGGTGTTACACTTGCCAGAACCTCGAGACTCATGTTATGCGTTTGAGAGCATACAAACGAAAGCAATACGTAGACAACGATATTTAAGTCGTTGCAATTTTATTAGGCGACTTTTGTTTTTGTTGAGTGAAAGCAGAAAGAGCCGTACTCTAGAACAGAGATAGTTGTTTATTTATACAGCGTTATGAGGTCTCGTGGGTGAGTACCCCACCATGTGCCGCAAATTGAACGGAAAAAGTTGATCCTCTGCTGACATTTTTGCTTCGCGGGTGTTTTTGTTCGCGTATCATATGTTTTAAACATAATTTGTGTCATACATTTGAAATATTAACCAACCATGAGAAGATACTTGAAAATATAAGAAATTATTTGAAAACAAATTTGAGCAGCCAAGTGTATATGTCATTTGTACTATATTATCAAGTGCAGCAGCCAAAGTTATCAAATTGAAACCAAATCCAAACTATCGAAAATGCATTCAAAAAAATTTCATTTGTTTCTCGTCCCCCGATTTCAGATTTGCCAAAGTTTGGCGAGCCGATCCAGAATCTAACCGTTGCAATTGGTAGAGAAGCAATACTGATTTGCGTGATTGATAATCTTCAAACGTATAAGGTGAGAAACTGCTACAACAATAAAATCCAATGTTCGATGATTATTTAACACGATGTCACGCAGGTCGCTTGGTTAAGGGTCGACACCCAAACGATTCTAACGATACAAACTCACGTGATCACTAAGAATCACCGAATGACGATAACACACGTAGAGGGCCGCAAATGGGTGCTGCGGATAAAAGACGTCAAAGAGTCCGACAAGGGATGGTACATGTGCCAGGTGAATACTGATCCAATGCGAAACCAAATTGGCTTCCTGAACGTTGTAGGTAAGTTTTATCATATATTTTTTAATAATAAAGTAGAACATCTTGAGGAAAACGATTAATACTTGTGAAGCTGAGAAATTGTTCAGTTTGGAGCATGGAGCAATATACTCCATAGAATAGTGTGATGTCTCTATTTCCAAAGAAATGGTTTATAGAAAATATATTGTCGATCAGTTTCGGGAAGACCTTCTACCAGCAATTAAAAAAAAAGAAACTATTCCCGATTTTTTAGATTAACTATCAACATTTTTCTTCATGGCAAAGTTCGAGTGGTAGGAAACGTTATTTTAAACTGCTGGAATGATGTGATACACTGAACGGAATAATAGTACGTTCAGACTACAGAGTTATAACATGTTATAGCGCTTTCTTGATGGTGGTTTCTGTGTTGCAATTATTTGACAACCGTTATAACATGTTATAACTCTCCAGTCTGTACAGCGTTTAAGAAAATCAAGCATGCCTCTTATTTTGGGTGTGATAATTTTTATATTTCAATACATATCACATGTTACGAGTGCCAATATTGAACGATTTTTCAAATATGTTTTTTGTTTGTCAAGTAACTACTGCATTTTCCCAAAAGAAAAGTATGCTTAGTCGACAGAAAAAAATACGTTCGATCCATAGAATTGGTTTATTTGCTTACAGTGCCACCCAACATCCTGGACTATCCCACAAGTACGGACATGGTGGTGAGAGAGGGTAGCAACGTGACACTGAAATGTGCAGCGTCAGGATCCCCTCAGCCGGTTATCATATGGCGAAGGGAGGGAAACGAGCCAATTAGTTCTGAAGGTAAATTGAGGAAAAAAATCACATCCATCATGTTCGAGCCATTATTCAGTCAGTGCCTTTTGCTCATCATTTTTCACTGCAACAGCTTCCAGTCATAACACGTCAACGTTTTCCATTCCACGGGTCAATCGGTTGGACATGGGAGCCTATTTGTGCATCGCATCCAACGGAATTCCTCCATCAGTCAGCAAACGTGTGATGCTGATAGTGCACTGTAAGTATTCATGTAAAAATGTTTATAAATAAGTGCACCGAAAATGTATTTACTCTTTAAACAAAGAAAGATAAACATAATGCTCGAAGCAATACCAAAAATCTCATGCCACTTTTCTAATAGACCAATCTTCATTAATCGATTCTCTTCATTGAATTTTTCTTTGGTTAACAACAGTTTTGGTCTATTTGAAAAGTGACGCGATATATCTTTCCGAGGGCTGTTGTCATATACCAATCGATTCAGCTCGACAAGATTAGAAAATGTTAGTGTACTGGTATAAGTGTGAGTGAGTTTTTTTATAGGAAGTGTAAATCCGGTTTGAGCTTCCAACTGTCGCTCAGCACAACCAACTTACCCGGTTCGATGGTTGAAACACGATAGAGGTTGTTGCACCTAGTATCGAGTCAAGTACCTTGCATTCAGCGGCGCCGGTGGTGTAGTGGTAAGCGTGATTACCTCTCACCCCAGTAGGCCTGGGTTCAATCCCAGTCGGGACCGCTGGGATGTTCTGAAGCATAACATCTCTGATCACGCCTTCCTTCGGAAGGGAAGTAAAGCTGTTGCACAGTGGTGCCAAGGGTATCAAAACACGCGCTCCTTTATTTACGCTGATTTAAAGGTACTAGGTGTCTTATGATAAGTTTCTCGAGTTAAATCACTCCTTCTTATGGTAAAAGAAAATTAAAGATTAATCCACCTAAAAGTGCGATGCAAAATTTATTTGTTTAATATGATAAGATACAACATAATTAAGTTCGGCAAAGCTGTAGAAAACATTACTGTGAACAACTTTTCTGAAGATATAACTTTCTAGCTCTTATAACTGCTGAGATTTAAAGGTTTTTTGTGGAGACATCATTAAAATCAGTTTTTTATCTGTACATTTTTCTACAATATTTCTACATGTTTGGCATGTTCTACAAATATGTTACAAATATCAAATTGCTATCTGATCTGAGATGCTACAAATGTTAATTGATATCATTAATATTTGAAAAGTTATTTACATTTTTGAGCTTGAGCTTGAGCTTGAGCTTGATTGACCGCCCACGGTTGCTACTCTGTTATTGCCAGATCAGCTGTAATTACACAGAGAACCAATAGACGATGCTTGGGACTAGCAATCATCCTCAATGTGTAAAAACTGGTGATCTTAAATTAGGCAATACCAGCCCCGGCCGCGCCCGAACACAGGTCAAGAAAGGAATGGGAAGGATTGTGTTGACATGACACTCGCTTTGATGGAAGCCGAGAACACCTCTGCACTTCCACGAGGAATCACTGGGATGTTGGATAAGAGGGTTGGGTTTGCAGCAGGGTTCGTTTTGGTAAACGATAAGCTGAATTGATGTCCTAACGATCATATAACGCGAAGGAGCTTGGGACTAAACCCACGGTCTTCTGCTCAGTAAGCAAAAACGTTTGCCACTAGGTAGACGAGCACCTTTTTAATCACCGAGTTGCTGTTATTACCATGTAGTCATATTAACAAATAAAACGATTGACGAATCTTGAATGTGGATGGGCCTGAGATTAGACTCATGATGTTCTGCTCAGTAAGCAAAAACGGTTGCTCTAAGGCCACCGAGCCCCTCATATCACATAATACCGTTGCTCAAATTTTTGTATCCATTCAAACCTGGAACCAACGACAACAACGAGTTTCGCAAAATACACGATACACAAGCGATTTTACCATAAATCTCTTTGATATGTAAGGACCTGGGACCGCGTTTTTCTGCTCAGTAAGCAGGCCACTGTAACCGACGATCTTTCAAATCCGAAAACTAAAAACTACGAAAAAGTACTTAGGCCTTCATTAAGTTCCACTTTCACGCGACGTTCAATGTTTCAATTTGCTCTTTACGTATTGTTCAGGCTATAAATAGGCTCTTTTCAAAAGTTACGCGAGAAATACGCACAATCGTCGCCTACCTCGCAAAACTGGTTCCAAACGACAACAAAGGCATAAGCAACGATGGATTGTTGAACTTTGCTGGCTGGTGTAGTGCTGCTGAAAAAAAGATAAGTCTATTATTTTGGTTAGTGATCGTTTGGATTTGGGTCACCCCACGTTGTGTTTAGGTTAGTATAAATAAATAATACTATTTAGTCATATAAATCACCACAGCTCATTATCTTCAGCGTTACCGGTTTTTTGTTTCTGGATCTTTAGTTGCCTCTGTGATATACTTACTTGCGGCATACTATTTTGGGAGTGTATATGAGCGTGTACCATGTACGGTAGCTCATCTCTCATCGTGATGGTGGGACATAGTAGACAAATTAGAGAGAAAACAAGGAGGTATTAGTATTAGTTATATGTAAACAAACAAAACAAAAGAAGAGAAGAGGAAAGAAGAGCAGAAAAATAAAAAGGGGATAAAGTAGATAACAATGGAAAGAAACGTAGGCAGATTATTAGAAAAGGCATTATCCGAGACCTCAATCAAATGTCACTCCCGCCGAGATCTCAGCGAAACCATCCCCGCCGAGACCCGCACAGCCGAGCTCGGTAGAAAAAACTAAGTGTGTATATAGATTAGTAGGAAAATAAATAAAACTACTTTATGACTCAAAGTGCAATGAATGAGGGTTAGTTTCGGGATCATTTCAGTGTTAGAGTTATGTTAGTTTTGATCCGTAATCAGCCCTGCTGACCCCTTCAACATTAGTTGCAGGCAGTGGTTGTTAGATAATGCGGCACTGTAACTACTACTATTTTAGAGGTATGATTCGTCAAGTTTATACAACTCAATGTTTCAATTTAGCCAAACTATCTATCTTACAATTACAAAAGCAAACCGAAACTTACAATTATATGCAAATGCAAAATGAAACTTGACAAATCATAGTCAATCCCCTTATTACAGGGCAGGGCCTGACGATTTGAATCTAATTTAATTTTGATCAGTGAACGGGCACCATATGGTACATTTTCTCAACATGAACCTATCATTTCCAGCCTATCTGAACTATTTAATAAATTGAAGCCATAACATGGGTTACGCTCCCCCTAAGCGGGCCCTCCGCATCCTGTCTCTGTCTTATCTCAAATACAAAATGCCAATGGTATGAATGTATCTATATATATATTGGTCAGGCTTTAGAATCGTCCAGTGGGCAGTGCGCTCTACACTCCAAGTTACCTTTTTTTCAAATTTACCGCAAATTTGATATTTTACCCATTGAGTGTTGATTAGTCACAATGAAACATTGTGACAGAAGTTGAGGTTACTAGTGTATTAAATAATCTAGGTCCTATTTATGATTATATCTGAAAAATCCAAATCTGGCCAACGCCCACCCTAAACCTAAACCTGTTCTAATCCACCTGAAATGACTAACGTATGGAAGACTTTTACTACCCAGCCATGCAATAGTCTCATTCCGTGCCTTATGGCAACTTGATGATTCTATTGCGCTCATCTTCTTGCACCACCCAGGGGAGACTTGGTCCTGTACCCAATGCTTAACTTATCTCCTTTCCACTCAGCTACTCGCAATTTCTTGTGATATAGTGGGCGGAATATTATTATATGAGACAATTCAATGCAGACGTCTTTCCAAATTTGGCAGATCGACAGGTAATCGGTGAGTTACCACGATAGTTGCTATTCAACAACTCGACAACGTCCCATCGTCAACGCCTGCTATGAGAATTTCCCATTGCAGACGCCAACGAAATGACGTCATCGAGCTATCGATCAACTACCCTGGTTATCGCCTGGTACCTTATAGCACGATGCTAGGAGGCGAACCGGAAGAATCGATGAGCTACCTCCCCCTGAAAAGTTATTTACATTTTTGGGTTAAAAATTGGCCAACTTCCAATACCAATAACTTCTAAACGGGAGAAAACGAGTCAATAGAAATAACCCAGGTTGCTTGATTATCCATTTGTATGCCAGTTTTCACACCTACTCGATAACAGTCCCGTGGTTTCACAAAATCGCCATTTTAAATTCTGAAAAGTGACAAGTTTCAATGCAAGTATTTCGGTTAAGGGTAACGTGGGGGCGGTCTGGTTTCTTTACCATTTTATTGCATTTTCTTGTACTTTCAATTGCTCAAAGAATGGCCTGCTCGTTTTTGCCCTTTTAGAAGTTATTGGTATTGGAAGTTGGCCAATTTTCAACCAAAAAATGTAAATAACTTTTCAAATATTATTGATAGCAATTTACAGTCTTCTTGAAAGATATGTAATTTGATATTTTTAACATCTTTGAAGAATATGTCAAACATGAAGAAATATTGTAGAAAAAGTTATGGATACAAAATTGATTTTAATGATGTCTCCACGAAAAAAACGTTTAAATCTCAGCATTTATAAGAGCTAGAAAGTTATAATCCTCAGCAAAGTTGTTCACAGTAATGTTTTCTACAGCTTTGCCCAACATTATTATGTTGTATCTCATCATATTAAAAACATAACTGACAGGCTGCTCCGCAAAAAAAGAGAACGGAAAAGATCATACAACGGGATTCTTGAAATACCTAGCCTACAAAAAGGCGATAACAGGCCAACAGCAATGGAGGTTACCCAAATAAACTACAATCATTACGACACTGCACAGCAAATGTTGTGTCTGTCGACAACAGAAACCAAGTGCGACGATGAAAACATCTGACATGAGCCAAAATCTATCTTGCGACACATCGATCCACATTGGCTACATCTGGGCATGTGCCGGATACCCCCAGAAAGTGGCCAACATCTGACAATACTCATTATCCGACAACTCAAATCCCATGAGACAACCAAATCAATGGTTAACTGAGCAACAAAAGCGTCTATTCGTTCGTCGCCGAATCCATTGCACATGATCAACTGTCGCTCCGGTGTGGTCACCTGCGCGAATTTCACTGTCGAGGTAAACGCAATTTATTTGCTTCCGCTCCCGCTTCGAATAAATCTCACGAGTGTTGGGGAGCCTTAAAACATACTCTTCAATCGTATGATGCTACCACAGAACAGATAGGTAACATGGGAATCA